AGGGGGCTGGTGGGCCGCACAGGGCAGCGCGGCCGCGGCCGCTGCAGACCAGCCAGCCGGGTCGGTCCTACTGCTGTGTGACGCTGCTGCTTGCGCCGCGCCCTGGTTGCAGGGACAAGTATTACACCAACAAGCACGCGTCGGCGCGGCAGGCGCTGCTGCAGGTGAGGGGGCCGCCTGCGCGCGGCGTGCTTGCACGCTGAGCGTGTGCTGCACGCTGCTGCCGCCACGTCACGTGCTGGCTAAACATGAGCTCCCAGCCTCTGAACCTGCCCATGCCGTGCTTTATTCCCCACTGCTTGCAGGCGCTCAAGCAGTTGGGGCCCTCCACCACGGCACCCAGCAGCGCCAGCCATGCCGCGATGCCGCCCGCCGCCGCCACTGGCGCCGTCACCTCCGAGCAGCTGAGCAACCTGGCCGCCATCATGGCGCTGGAGGGCGTGCATTCGGACGTGGTGCTGCAGACGCTGGGCCTGCCCACAACCGCCGAGGCCGCCGCCGCCGCCGCCGCCTCGGGTGCCGCCCCGGCGTCCTCGGCGCCCATGCCCGGCCTGACGGCCAGCGCGCTGGCCAGCCTGGACAGCGCCACGCTGAACAGCCAGCTGCTGCACGCGCTGGCCAGCCCCTCGCTGAGCAGCCAGACGGCGTTTGACATGCGCGGCAGCTTTGACCTGTCCACCGCCATGCGCTCCACCGGCAACTCCATGGACCTCTCCTCCCTGCAGCACAGCCTGGCGGCGGCCGCGGCGGGCCTGCCCATGGATGCAGGCTCCGTGGCGGGGCGCATGCACACCGCAGACAGCCGCAGCACGCTGGCCTCGGCCGACTGGTCGCGCGGCCCCAGCGCCCGCACCTCCATGGACACGAGCGTGCTGCTGCCCGCCACCACCGCCGGCTTCCTGGCCCCCGCCGCGCCGCTGGGCCCCGCGGGCGGCCTGGGCGGCATGCAGGCGCGGCTGTCACTGGACGCCGCGCTGCAGCTGCAGCACGCGCAGCAGCAGCAGGCGGCGCACCAGGCGATGCTGGCCAGCCACTCGCGCATGTCCTCCTCGGCCTACCCGCTGCCGCCCATGGCCCCCCAGGCCAACATGGCATCCGTCATGCACAGCGGCTTCTACCAGCCCCAGGCGGCGCCGCCACCGCAGCCGCAGCCGCCGCAGCCCGAGATGCAGCACAGCCTGCAGACTGTGCTCTCGTCTGGGCTGTACGGCGGCGGCGGCGCCCCCGCCGTGCCGGCCCCAACCCGACACTCCATGCACGAGTTTGGCGGCAGCGGCCTGCTGCCCTTCAATGACGCCACCTGGGCGCCCCAGCTGTCCCAGCAGCAGCAGCACCACCAGCACCAGCTGGGTGGCTACAGCACTGTGCTCCGCCCCTCCATCGACCGCGCGGGACTTCCGCCCCTGCCGCCGCGCAGCCCCAACCAAGGTGCGCCACACTGCATGTCGAACCCAGTCCGGCGCGCATGCTGCCTGCCTGGCTGGTGGCGCTGCGAGGTGGCCTGCAAGCCAACCAGTGTTTCATTGTCGTGTGTGCTGCCCCCGCTGCTGATGCAGACACCCTGGGCCGCCAGGCCAACAGCGGCTCACCCGACTCCCTGATGGGGCTCCCCGCCAGCGGGTGGCCCATCACGAGCCGGGTGACTGCGTAAGCCAGGTGCCCGCTTCTCTGCTGTGGCGGGGCACCCTCAGCTTTTAGCGAATCGCCCCTCGAGGCCCCTCTTTCTTTGATGCTGCTTGCAGCCGTAACTGCCAGTTTTTCCTGCTCACCAATGGCGCGTGCGGCACGGCCGCAGTGTTGCCCCATGCCTCGGCCCGCACTGGTGCAGCCCTTTAATCGAATCCCCCCTTCCCATCCCCAAACCCCCCACGCTTTCTGCCGACCCCTGATTTTATTCGGCAGGCACGACCTCATGTCCGTATTCTTGCCCGCCCCTTCGCACTCCTGGGCCACTCGCGGGCTCGCCAGCCTGCACCATCGCGTCCAGCGCCCTGCCCCTGCCAAGCCAGCCGGCCCTCTCGGCCCAGCTGGTTCCATTTAATTAGTGGCCAGTTGTGTACCTTCCCTTCGCGTCGCCCGACCCTCCCCTCCCCTCGCATCCTTGTAGCCTTCTCTTTGCCGCCGCGTGCTCCCTCTGATCCGCGTCTCTCCCCCACGCTCGTTTTGGGAGAGGTGCTCAGGGTGCGCGAGCGCCTTCTTGCAATTGATGCCGAAGCATCACCAGCCAATACCGGCGTTCCACACCCGCCCGCCCTCTCCCCCCCATCCTCTGCCACCATTTTTGTGGCGCGGCTCCGCGCTCCCTCGGATGCTCCTTGGCTTTCATTCACCCGCCTCTGCGAGCATTTTTTGCAGTCCCTGTTTTTTCCGTCGCTCCTGTGCTGCAACGCAACGCCAACTGATTTCACCCCTCCCGTCACACAAACATCAGGAATCGTGCTTCTTCTTCCCTTCACGAAATGCATTTCCATAGCTCCCCAGCATTGTAATCTGACAGATCGAGTTGGGATTGGGTGGCCACGCGGGTTGACGGGGTGCGGTGGCGGCTGCGGGGCAAGCGCTGCCTACAGGATAAAGAGGTGTGCAGAAAATTCAGGGTGCACATGATCGGGAGATAAAAGTATGTGCAACCCCTCTGCAAGCACTTGCAACGCGACAACAAATCTTTAGGACCTGCTGGGAGCGCTGCCCCCGCCACAGCGCGCACGCCATGCGGAGCCAGTGCTTCCCATTGCCCGCGTTCCACGCCACCCTGGTCCCACTGTGTTTGTCTGGACACTCTTGCTGGCCGATTGAAGGGCCCACCGGGGCTGCTTCGAGCTCCCAGAAGCAACACTTGAACACAAACAGTGACCGCAAAGCCACTGCGCACTCCCACCGGCCCCTGCCTTCCAAGAGCGGCCACTCCAAGCTCACAGCCCGCCGCCATGGCTCACCAGCTCACTCGGGGCGCCGTGCAAAAGCTGGTGGCAGGCATCACGGGAGAAGGGCCTATGACGCTGCAGGTCTTGGGTGAGTCAAGACCGTGTGCTGCCGGGCTGCGCGTGTCCGCATAAGCTGTAGCCCCCGCGCCGCTGGGCGCCCCAGCGCGCCGCCGCTCGTCAGCCCTGCCCCTACTCCCAGCTGTTCCCCCGGCCTTCCCCACCCCACCCCACCCTCCGCCCTGCCCTTGCTTGCTTGGCATGCAGGCCTCAAGCGCCTGCAGAATGCGCAGGCACAGCAGGACCGCTTCCGCGCGCTGCTGAGCGACGGCGAGTACAGCCACTCGTGCATGCTGGCCACGCAGCTGGCCGAGCTGATCCACACCAATACGCTCAAGGAGAACAGCATTGTCACGCTGCACGACTACATTTCCAACCAAGTGCAGAACAAAAAGTGCGTGTGTGCACGCTAGGGTGGCAGGTTGGGCGCACCGCAGGCAGCGCTGCTACCTGTTCTGGGCCTCCTACTCACACGATCCGCGCCTATTCCTGCCTTTGTGCCCGTCCTGGGTGCAGGGTGGTGATTGTGCTCAACCTGGAGGTGGTGCAGTCGGACGCACAGAAGATTGGCGACCCGCAGATGTATGACAAGGTGCATGCCGGGGGCGGCGCCCCGCCCGCCCAGAACGGTGCGGGCCCGCCCCCACAGCAGTACGGCGGCCCGCCCCCGCAGCAGTACGGCGGTCCACCGCAGGCATACAATGCCGGAGGCGGCTTCGGCGGCCCTCCACCAGGCAACCAGCCGGGCAGTGCCTATGGCGGCCCGCCTCCCAACCAAGGTGAGCTGTGCTGGCTGGCTGCGCTGCTGTGGCCGCTGTGCCATTGCGACCACAGGTTCCCTCCCTCAAGCCGTGTCTGACGGGTGACAAACGCATGCTGACACTTGCATGCAGGCGGGAACCCCTATGGCCAGCCTGGTGGCGGCGGTCGTGGCTACGGCGCTCCAGTCGGCGGCGGCTATGGTGCCCCCAACGCGCCCTACGGCGCAGCGCCAGCGCAGCAGCAGCAGCAGCAGCGTGCCCCCGGCAACCCCTACGGCCAGCCCGCACAGCAGTACCGCGGCGCGGGGCCAGGTCAGGCCCACATGCAGCTTGCCCTGCCGGCAAGCCATGCGGACAACATGGCACGGCATGCCTGGCTCGTGGCCCAAATGCACAAAGCTGCAGCTGCGCATGTATTGCCCATCTCACCGCCTACCCCTGGGCCCCCGTGTGCCCTCCCATGCCTGCCGCAGTGGCCCGCAATGAGGCCCCCTCCCACATCATGCCCATCAACGCGCTCAACAGCTACCAAAACCGCTGGACCATCAAGGCGCGCGTCACCAACAAGAGCGACATCCGCAGGTGGGCCGCCATGCACCAGGGGGCAGGTGCTGGCGTGCCACGCCTGTACAGGCATCCCTTATGGTGCTGGCCACCCCACCAGCCAAAGCTGGGACATGTTGGCACCCGCATGCCTTCCTGCACGGCCCTGCTTCGCTGACTGGCTCCCTTGCCTGGCCTGCCTGGCCTGCCTGCCTGCCACCCTGCGCGCACAGGTACACCAACGCTCGCGGCGAGGGCAAGTTCTTCTCCTTTGACCTGCTGGATGCACAGGGCGGCGAGATCCGCGTCGTCTGCTGGAATGACCAGGTGAGACGGGGGCCGGTGCCTTGGTGGGGGTGGGCCCCGGGGGCGAGATCCGAGTCATCACCCCATCAGTGCCAGCAGCTTGTAACCACAGCAGCGCACGCATTGGGCTGGATCAGCCAGACGGGGGCGGGGCGGCCCGCATGCCATGCAGGATGCACTCATGTGTTGCCTCCTGCATTCACTCACTCCGGCTGGGACACCCACCCCCCCCGCACCCCCCCGGCGCCCGCAGTGCGACCGCTGGGAGCCTGTGATTGATCAGGGCAAAGTGTACCTCATCTCCAAGGCCAGCCTGCGCAACAAGCGTGGCAACTTCAACCAGGTGCGCCCGCCCTGCCCCTGCCTCAGCCGACTGCCCCAGCTTTTTGCCACTGTGGCGGCCAGCCTGCTTGGCCTCTCCCGCCCTCCCCACCACCCCACCCGCCCTGAATCCACCCACCCACCTGCCGCCCTGCAGACGCGCCACCAGTACGAGATCCACCTGGAGAACTCGTCGGTGGTGGAGGCGTGCAACGAGGAGGACGACATCCCGCACATCTACTTCAACGTGAGGCGCTGCCCAGCCCGCACATGGCAGGCAGCACATGCATGCGCGTGCACGCACACACACACAAGGCATGCAGGCATGCGCCCAGCGGGCACCACATGCCACCCATGCGGCCGCACAGTGCGCTGCTCAGCCTGCTGCTGCCGCTGCTGTGCCCCTCCCCCTCGAGCGTCTCGCCTGCAGTTCTGCAAGATTGCCGCGGTGGAGGACACCCCTCCGGGCAACTCGCTGGATGTCATCGGTGCGTCGCCTCATGCTGGGCTCGCTGGACAGCTGTGCGGCCCGCCTTGTGGCCTCCCTGCTTGCTGTGCTGTGCCCACGCAGCCCACAGCCTGCCCGCCCCTGTGGCTGCCGACTCTAATGCCGGCTCCCTGCCTCCCACCTTGCAGGCGTGGTGGAGAATGTAATGGATTGGGTGACCATCACGAAGCGCGATGGCACTGACACGCAGGCAGGCCCCGCCGCAGCCGCTAGCTCCGGCACCCGCTCTGCCTGCTGTATGCATTCCCCGCTGCACGCACTGCCCCCCACTGCTTGCCCCCCCGGGATGCGCAGCCGCCCTCCGCCTCCTGCCCTCCCCGCCCGCAGAAGCGGTCGCTGACGATCCGCGACGACAGCAACCGCAGCATTGAGCTGACGCTGTGGGGCAAGTATGCCAACGAGCCGGGCGACCACCTGCAGGCGGTGGGTGCCACACGCCTGGGCTGGCCAGGGAGGGGCGAACTAAGCTGCTGCCCGCCTGCCTGCCTACCCAGCCCACCGCTGTGCCCCTCCCGCCGGCCCAAGCCTGCCTGACCTGCCTCTGCTTGCCCCGCGCTGCCCGCCCCTGCCCCTCCCCGCCTGCAGGCCTTCCAGAACGGCGTGCACCCCATTGTGGCGATCAAGAGCGCCCGGGTGGGGGACTTCAACGGAAAGACGCTGTCCACGGGTGCGGTCCCACAGCGGGACTGCGCGGCAACTTGGGCGCTGGGGCCGCTGGCCTGCTTTGCCCCCGGCCACCATCTCGCATATGTGTCCCCCCAGCACCCAGCACGCTCCTCCGTTTGGCGCCTCCGCCCCCCTACCACCCCACCTGCCCCTGCAGTTGCCTCCAGTACCGTCATGGTGGACCCGCTGGATGTGCCCGAGGCGGTGCAGCTGCGGCAGTGGTGAGGCAGGGCGGAAGTTGTGCTGAGGAGCAGTATGTCCTGCTGGGCTGCTGCGTGGCCCGCCTCCATGGCGGGGCACTGCCTGGTTGCACCTGGCAGGCAGCATGCCAGGCAGCAGGCACGCCGCCGGCGGTGCATGGTCTCACAGCTGTGGCTGTGCTGCGCCTGTGCAGGTATGACTCAGGCGGCGCAACCATGGTTGCAGAGGCGCTCAGCCGGCCCAGTGGCGGGCGCAACGACCGGCGCATCACGCTGGCCCAGGTGGGTGGCCGCCGCCAGCCACTCACCGCTGGCTGGTGCAGGTGTGGAAGCTCCAGGTTGCCGGTGGTGTGCAGGGCGATGGCGCCACCCTGCCGCCTCCTCCCTGTGCAGATCAAGGATGAGGGGCTGGGCCTGGGCGAGAAGCCAGACTGGGTGCTGGTGAGCAGCTGCTCGCCGCCCCCGCCCCCGCCGCCGGTACTGGTGCTGCCCTGCCGCCTTCCCGCCCTGCAAGCTGGGCCGCGGCGGAGCTTGCTTGCGGTGCGCCACCTGCCCATTGCTGACTGGGTGTGCCGGGGCTGCTGTGGGTGGTGTGTGTGTGCGTGGCGCCATCACAGGTGTCTGGTGCCATCACCTTCCTGCGCAACGAAAACATGTTTTACGCCGCCTGCCCCAACAAGCTGGCCGAGGGGCGGCAGTGCAACAAGAAGCTCCAAGACAACCAGGACGGCACCTGGTAAGCGCCCCCGGGGTGCCCCGCCTGCCCCCCCCCTGCACCTCCTGCCCTGTGCCCTCATGTTCCACGCCTCTGCTGCACACAGCCTGCGCGGATCATTCCCACGCCCACCGCCATCCTGCCCCGCCACACCCGCACCACGCGACACCCACCCACTGCCTGCAGGTCCTGTGAGCGGTGCAACGGCAACTTTGAGCCTGAGTACCGATACATGCTCAACTTCCAGGTGGGGGTGGGTGGGCGTGGGGGTGGGGTGGGGGCGGCAGCCTGCCGCGCAAGTGCATCGTGGCGGCCCTGTCTGCTCCCTGCCTCTGCCACAGGCTGCCCCCCGCGCCGCCCGAGTCGCTTGATCCGCCCGCTGCCCGCAGCTGTCTGACCACACGGGCGAGGCGTGGGTGACGGCCTTCCAGGAGCAGGGCCTGGACATCATGGGCAGGAGCGGTGCGTGGCGCCGCGCTGGCATGCCGCGGTGCACCACCCTGCCGCTGCGCGCTGCCTGGGCAGCCGCAGGGGAGTGTCAGGCGGGAAGGGCAGGCCGGCGGCGGGCGCATCGCCCGCTTGTTCAGGCCGCCCGCTTCCACGCCCACCCTCCCCACGCCTGCTGCCCGCCCCCTGGTGCGCAGCGGCGGACCTCAAGGACATGCAGCAGACCCTGGACGAGGGCGACTTCAGCTCGTACATGCAGGTGGGGCGCAGGGACGGGTGGGCTGGGCAGCCTGCACTCGCGAGGGCCTGGCGCCACCTGGCCAGCTGGTATCTGCTGCCGCACGACCCTGTGTGTGTGGGGGGACCTCTCCCTGGTCCCAGGCCCAGCCCCCCCCCCTGCTGCCTGCCGCGCGTGTGCGCCCCGCAGGACCTCAACTTCCGCCACTACCTGATGAAGCTCAAGGTGACCAACGAGGTGTACAACGACGAGACCAAGCTGCGCACCAGCGCCGTCTCCGTCATGGCCCCCAACTTCACGCAGGAGGGCAAGGCCCTGCTGGACATGATTGGCAAGATGGAGCGCGGGGAGCCCGTGTTTGCGCCGCGCCCGCCGCCCCAGCAGCAGCAGCAGCAGTACGGAGGTGGCGGGTATGGCGGCGGCGGGGCCTATGGTGGCGGCGGCGGCGGCGGATACGGCGGCCCGCCACCGCAGCAGCCCGGCTACGGCGGGTTCAAGCAGCAGACCCCACTGCGCCAGGGTGGCAACCAGAACCAGGTTGGCCGCTCTGCCCCCTTGAATCAAGCGTTGACCTGCATGCCTGCTGTACGCTGACAACGCCTGCTGTTCGCCTGCAGAACTTTGGTTACCAAAATCAGCCAGCGCCGCAGCAGTATGGAGGCGGCGGCGGCATTGGGGGTGGCCAGGCAGACAGGTTCTGGTGAAGTCGAGGCTGACGTTGTGCTCGCCGGGTGTATTTTCTCTCTGCTCGATTGAACAGCCACTTTTACCATGTGTGAATGCATGGGTTAGCTTGGGGTTTATTGTGCAAAGAAAAGTGCAAGGGGATAGATGGTGGTTCGGCGCATGAAATGCCGTGTGTTATGCACGGCATGAGCATCTGCTGCAATGAAAGGGGACGGCGGGGCCTGGATCAATTGCTGCTGGGGCAAACCACTCAATGGGATCAAGTGCCGCAATAGCCTGTCTGCACTCATCAAAACTGGAGGCATGCATCAAAATTGGTAGTGGAAAAGGGGCAAAACAAACAAAACGACAAACAAAAATCCATGACGGTAGGTCATGTAAGGGTGGGTGGGTGGTGGTACTGCCGCGCATCATCTAGGCAAAAAGTAGTACATGGGAGGCAACTTGTCAATCCAGCTCGTCATAGATGTTGCATTCAACGATCCGCCGCTCCACGTCCTTGAATGACAGCACATCCTCGCCCCACAGCCATGCATAGCAGCCTGTGTCCCTTGCCCCATGGACATCATTCCTGCAGAAGGCGCAGAATTCACCTCGTATACACAGCCACAGTTCACTGGCAGGCATACATACACTCGCTCTCGCAGCCCCCCCCCCCCCACACACACACACACAGCGGCACCAGCGGTCCTTGCCAGCCCCACCAGGCACCTGCGGTCGTCCCCAACGTGCACGCAGGTCTCGGGCGGCAGGCCCAGCGCCTCACAGGCGGCCACGAAAATGCTCGGATTCGGTTTTTCCATATTAACCTCGGCTGAAAATTAAATCGAAGAGGTGTCGGGGCCAGGGCAGCGTCAGCGTGCATGCACAGGCTGAGGCAGCAAGGCACACGGAGGCCGGCACAAGAGGCAGCCAGGAGCTGGCACCTGACACAAGTATCGCGTCCCAGAGGTGCTCAACCTCCAGGTCGCGCAAAATTCTCCGCAGGCCTGCAGGCAGGCACGGGCAGGCTGGCATCAGCAGGGTGACGTGATGCACAGCGTGCGGAGCAGTGCGTACGCACGAGTGTCAAAGTTGCTGACAACTGCAGTCTTCAGGCCCCGCGCCCGGATGCGATGGATGGCCTCAACCGCGCCCGGGGTGACAAAGTAGGCGTCACCCCTGCAGTGCACGTAGAGCAGTAGGAAACGGGGGTTGGATACCAAGGGTGGGTGGGACAGATCGGCAGTTTTCTTCCACATGGGACACCGGCAGGGCGCAGGTACCTTGAGTAATGATCATACAGAGTTTCAAACAGCGCCTCGCTGCTGCAACCTGTACTGCGGCGTACAATCTCGCGCCAGAACTGCCTTCCACTGCCAACATATCTAATGGTTGACTGACCCCAGGGCGAATTATAGGCTTCGCGAAAATTGTCAAGCACCTGCTCGGCTGACAGCGTGCAGCCGTACTTGCGAGCATGGTGCAGATAGACCTGCACAGTTCGCATGTGGCATGTGGCAGTGTGTGAGTGAGACTGGGCGGTTGCCACCCGCACTCCAACATCCTCGCCCTCACCCACCTCCGCCACGGGCTCTGATGGCAAGAGCAGAGTGCCCGCAGCATCTACAAGCAAGCCTTTCAGCTGGGGCGTGAACTGCAGCAGTGAACAGGATGCAAGCTTCAGCCCCGCCCCTCCTGGCGTATCGCCGCCGCCGGCCGGTGCCCCACAACCATCTGCCGCCTGACCGCGCCCTGCCTCCTCGCTGCAGCCCTTCACTTGGCTGCCCCGATGCCTCCAGCCGCCAACCCGTGAGCCTCCTGGGTGTAGGCTTGCCTCAGAGGTGACAGTGGGTTGGGCGGGCCGCCGCAACCACTGGGGCTCATCAACCCGCGCTGCCAGCGCCGCCAGGGCTCTGCATGGAGGATGTGCAAGTGCCTGAGCCCGCAAGAGGGGAACAGCAGCTCCAAGTGTGCGGAGACAGTGCCACCCGAGGCCCAACATCTCGCCCCGACACTGGGGGAGTGCGGATTTGTAATGGGGGACGCCATGCCTGGCCAGCGCATGTAAAATTGCTTCTCACAGTACAGCCCGCAGCCAGTACAGCGGGCCTACAGTGCGTGTTTCCAAGCCAGCTCGCTCTCTTTCGGCCTCGGAGCAGCCGCGCAAGGACAGGGGTCACGATGACGCGTATCTCTGTCCTCGCCGATGCGCTGGTGAGGCGGGATGGACCTGGAGGGGGCTGGAGGTGCTGCTGCGCAGCGGGACTTGCCTGCGGGCGGCTGAAATCCCATTCAGCCGTCTGCGCGGCCTGCCGCCCCCTGCGCTGGGGATGGGCTGAGCATGCCGCGCTAAGGGAGAGCATGCGGGCGCAGAGCAGTGGCCTTGCGACTGAGGTGGCGGCCCATGGATGTGGAGGGGGTCAGGCAGGCAGGCAGGCGCCTGCCCCGGGATGGAGCATGCAGAGCTGGGCAGCAGGGGCAGACAGGACCCCTGGTGGCCATCTGCTGTCGAGCGAGCTTGGACAGCGAGGTGGAGCGCCAGCTCGAGCGGGCAGCCCGGCAGAGGCTGTCGGCAGGGGTCCCCGCCTGCGGTGCTGCCACTGCACTCCCCCTGAACTGTGTGCCTGGCTTCCTCTTGCGCCGCCCCGCAGAAGACGATGTACAATGCCGAGAAGCGCGGCAAGAAGCAGGTGCTGCTGCGGCCCAGCTCCAAGGTGGTGATCAAGTTTCTGTCGCTGATGATGAAGCACGGTGAGCCTGGAATGGTGGCCCGGTGGTCCATCATATGATGCGCAGAGCGTGGTGCAGCTGCTGGAGCTGGCGGCGCGTGTGCCCCGTCATTTGATGGCAGCGGCTGGCTGGAGATGGGCTGGAACAGTAGCCTGGGGAGCTGGTGATGTGCGGCCGAGCTGGGAGCAACCGGCAGCTGTGCCCGCCTATGCTCTGAGCGCCCTGCGCCCTGCTGTGCAGGCTACATTGGCGAGTTTGAGTTTGTGGACAACCACCGCTCTGGCAAGATTGTGGTGGAGCTGAACGGCAGGTGTGTGCCGGTGTATGGGCAGAGAGATGCCTGTTGGTGGGGGACATTGTTTGCTGCTACCAGCAGGTAGCTGAGACCGTGGCAGTTGGGCATGGCAGCTGGCACAGAGCTGCTGGGCAGCATCCCCAATGCCGCCACCAACAGTGCTCCTTGTCTGCCCGACCAGGCTGAACAAGTGCGGTGCCATCTCGCCCCGCTATGACATTGCCGCCAAGGACATTGAGGCCTGGGTGGGCCGCCTGCTGCCCTCTCGTCAGGTTTGTGCTGCAGCTGGGTGTCGGATGGATGGCTGCGGTGTGCTGATGGGCACATCTGCCATGGCTTGCCGTGCCACGCCGCAATTTCAACTTGCTTGATGTGTCCTCTGTGTCTGCAGTTCGGCCACATCATCCTGACCACCTCTCAGGGCATCATGGACCACGAGGAGGCCAGGTGAGCGGCAGGACTTGCAAGGTACCACGGCGGAACACAGGCAGCATGTTGAGCTCTTTCCTGTGTATGGCTGCAGGCGGAAGAAGGTGGGAGGCAAGGTTCTGGGTTTCTTCTATTGATTCTAGCCCGCATCTTCCCCGACGCAAGCGCGGCAGCAGAGAAGGAGTGTGCTACGCATGGCAGCGGGAGGCGAGCAGCCGCCGGCTGTCGGTTTGGGCAACCTGATGAAACGCCCCTCGTCAGCGCTGCCACCTTGCTGCACTCAAATTGCCACACTCGTGTGTGGTATAGGTGTAACACACGCGCCATAGGGGCTCTTGCAAGAAGGCAGTCGTGGTGGTGCAGCGGCAGTGGTGCGGCTTGCCATTGGAGATGCCACATGTCGACGGGAGGCAATCGGATGCATAGGTGCCCAAGCAGCCTTGCATCACACTTGGAGCAGGGGGCAGGTGTGGGCATTAGGAAGTGGGACGCTCTGCCACGCTGGAACAAACTGCGGAATGCTGTCCCATTCAACATTTCTGTCCGTTGGGGTCACAGAGTTGAACAGTCAGTATGGCCGCCATGATGCACAATGCCCAACATGTGGTGCGTGTTGTAGCAAAGAGAAGAAACAGTGCTTGAAAGTTTGAACAAAATCAGGTGTACTGAGCAGGAACAACATGTGGTGAAAACATTTGCCAGAGCTGCGCTATGATACAAAAACGGGCGGATCAAGGGAGCAGGACGAACTAACTGGCAGAGGGAGGCGGTGAGGACGGGTGCAAATCCGTAGGGAACATGGAACCAACAGCGGTTCGCCGCGCTCGCGCCACGTATTCTATCATGTGGTCCACGTGGAACAGCTTGCCCACCGCCACCGCCGCTTCATCACCCAGCGGCACGTGCAGCCTGCAGCGGCTGAGAGTTGAAGAAGTAAGCAACCGAAGTACATGCCAAGGCACCACAATCAAAGTGGCATGATGCAAGCGCCGCCGACCGCACCTGTCCATGGGCCGGACCAGCTCATTAAGCTCGACGCTGGGCGTAAACGTGAGCAGGGGCGCCGGTGCACGCTGCGCGTGAGGCTGTGCCAGCGGGCTTTCACCCGCCTCGCCATCCTGCTCCCGCTGCCGCTGCAACTCCCGCAACCGCTCCATCCGCGCCATCTTCTCAAGCATGTCCAGGTACCTGCTGGTCAGGGGGCGCGGGATTTAGCCTATATGCACTTTCCCCACTTGGCTGTGGGAGCAAACTCGGGCTGAATGCGGGCAGGCGTCCACCACCTACCGGTGCTCCTTGCGGATCAGCTTGGCGGGCCACTCGCCGGGGCGGAACTGAAAGCCAGAGTGCCGTTCCTGATAGATCAGCAACTGCAGAGGCAGATCAGAGGGAGGCAGAATGGCTCATCAGGTTGATGAGGCGTGCACATGCTAGCTGGGGACACCTAGCCCGATGCCATAGCTCCTGCTCGCCCACCTGGTCCCGCAGGTCGCGCAGCTGCTTGGAATTGAGCTGCTCCAAGTTCTGCTCAAGTGCCTTGGTGCCCTGCACAAGGGCAGGGGGAGAGCAGGGAAGCGGAGTCGCAGCCAAGCAGGGCAGAAGACTTGGCCTAGGCACAACTGGCTGCCTGCTGCTCCCCTCACCTGCAGTGCCCTGAAGTGGGAGTAGATGCGGTATCCCGTGTAGTAGACGGTGATGTTGGGCAGGGGCGTCAGCATCAGCGGCAGCTGCAGGGTGGAGCAAAGCGGGCAGGCTGGAAAATGGTACCCATACCGCCTGTGTAGCGCACGCACGGTGAATGATGTTACCGCAGCGAGGACCAAGTGGCCAATACCCAGCTCCTCCCACCTGGGGCACCATGGCCAGCATCCACCACACCAGCCGCATCGTGTGTCGCCGACGCCCGTCAGCTGCCACGTGTCGCAGCTGCCGCCGCACCATCCGCTCCTTGTATGCAGTCTGCAACAGTCAGTGAGGCAGCACAGCGGCTATGATGAGTAGCAGGGGAAAGCATCTCCGGCCTGGTGGTGGCACGCTGCAGCCTGCCGATTCGGTCCTCCCTGCTCCTGCTTGCTCTTGGGTTCAGTGCCCACCGCGGCCTGGTATCCTCACCGGATAGATGACCTCCACGGGAGCGGGCTTGGAGGGCAAATTCTTGAGGAAGGTCTCACGCGGGTCCTCCCTGGCCAGCACCGCCTGTGCCATCCTGTACCCGCGGTTGCGCAGCGTGCCCTCCGATGCCGTCTCCAGCTTGTGCCACTCGGTCCACAGGCGGCGCTGGACCTGCAGGCAGGGGGCGTGCGCTGGTGAGCAGGCAAGCAGACCATCGCCCATGGTTGTTTGGTGCCTTCCAGCAGCAGCGCGCTCACCCAGCGGTTGGCTCGCTGGCCCAGCAGCTGCACTTTCTCCTCCAGGTTGCGGCCCTCGCGCCAGTTGCGCAGTGCCTGCCCAGCCTTGCCCTGAACGTCTGCGGCTGCCGCCGCCGCCGCCGCCGCGCCGCCTTCCGCGTGCCACAGCCAGTGCCGCCGGAAAATGGGCAGCAGCAGCACGCGGGTGGTGGGCTCCATCGCGCGCCTTGCTACACTCGCTGGGCCAAAGCGCCTTGACTGATGGTTCAACCCAACAACTCAACTCAGGCCTGTCCACATCGATCGACAGTGATCAGATTCGCCCTTGCTGAACACAAAGGGGGCCCGGGCGGGAGGTCGCGGGGCCCATTATGGGCGAAGCGTGGGGGCACCCCAGAGCCCGCCCTCTGCCTTCAAACCGACACCAGCCGATGATGTGCAGCTGGGGAACAGCCTTGGATGAGAAACGGCCGGCCTTTGCAGTCGATGTCAATCGCCGACCCCGGCGGGCCCTTCCGCTCATGCATGAAGAGGTCTTGCCACCGAAATCTCCCGCTTGTGCGCTCATTTGCAGGATGCAGGCGCTGGCGTTCAGCAGCAGCTCCCTGGTGGGCAGCCGCGCGCTTGTGAAGCAGGCTAGCAATGGCACCGCGCAAAAACTCGCGATGAAGAGCCGCAGCACCTACCAGGTGAGCCGGCAAGGCTGCTGCAGGGGCCCTTGTGGCTGGCGGCAGCGAGGGCCTGGTGCTCTGCTGGGGCGCCCGCCTGGCCGCCGCCACCCCGCAGCGGGCGCCTTCCCGCGTTGGGTCCTACTGTCACTGATCCTTCCTGCCGCATCCATTCGCATGCAGGTGCAAGTGGTGGTGGGCGACGATGAGCCGCAGGACAATGCTCTGAAGCGGTTCAGGCGGGAGGTCATGAGCGCAGGCAAGCACCGCACTCACCGATCTTTTTGTGCGTGCTGCAGCTTGCCTCGGCGCGCATTCCAGGAGGGAGTTGCCGCGAGAGTGGGAGCGCAAATCCCATGCCTTCTCCCTGCCCATTTCCGCAGGCGTGATTCCCGAGGTGCGGCGCCGGCGGTACTTCGAGAACTCTGTGGACGCCAAGAAGCGGAAGCACAAGGAGTCGCGCATGGCGATGAAGCGGCAGCAGGCGGTTCGCAACTTCAGCCAGGTGTCAGGCCAGGAGCCGGCGCCGTTCAGCGACATGTTTGGTGCCAGCGACGACCTTGACCTCGCGCTGCATCTTTAGGCTTCTCCAGTTTTCAACCCGACGCCATCCCCGACATGTTATCTCTTCTCGCTCTACTTTCCCTGCTGCCAGTTTCATTTTCGTTGTGCGCACCTCAAGTTTCATAAGCCCCGCTAGGATGGAACAATTACAGCAATTGCAGGCAAAAGGCAGGAGTTTATGATTTGGATCAACGGCCAGCAGCTCAATCGTGCGCAGCTCGCTGCTTGGCCAGCTTTTTGCGCAGTCGGCCCGGCAGCGGCTTGTGTCGCTTGCTGGGTGGAGGGGACGCAGGCAAGGCGCCCTCGTCATCGCTGCTGCTGAACCCCGCCAGCTGCCCTGCTGCAGCCAGGTGCTGCCGCTGCCGTTTCAGCTCCTTTAGCTTCCCTGGAAGCATGAGCGCTGGCGCCGGTGCTGGCACCTGCAGCTGCTTGCCCTTCTTCTCTTGTGTGGGAAGCCCTCCAATAGGCTTGTGCGTGTACTTCAGCTTCAACTGCCTCAAATCGTCCTTCTGCTGCTGCTTGGCTGCTGCAACATGGCGCTTCCCGCCCTCTTTCTGCTGCTGCTGCTGCTGCTGTACCGCATCCAAGTAGTATCCCAACCCCGAAGACCCCTTTTTGAAGGCATAACCGGGCCGGCCCCCAGCAAACTTGCGGCTGGCAAAGAAGCTGGGCAGTTCCTCCACATCCGGGGGTGGCTGATGGGCCTGCTGCGCCACGCGGCGGCCTGCACCATGGGCATCGCTGCTGCTGTCCTCCTCGCCTTCCGACTCGCTGCCAGAAGCACCAGCTGCCCGAGCAACTTTGCGCTGCCGCTGCTGCCGGTCCTTCTTTTTCTCCTGAAGCGTCTTCATGCCCAGTTGGCGTAGCACATCCTCCTTTTGCGGCTCGCCCAGCTCCTCGCCTGCGAGGCACACCCAGGATATAGTAAGCTGGTGTGGATGGCAAGCAGCAGTACGCCAGCAAGCCATCAGCCTGCAAAGCTGGATGCAGCAAGCGAGCAGGAAACAAAGCCACCTCAGCACGCGTTGTGAAGCTTGCCTACCTGTGGCATCATTCAGCAGCCCCAGCTTCTCCTTTGCTATTTGATAGCTCTCGGCGAGCTTGACAAGATTGGGGTCAACAGCCTGCACGTGGAAAAGACAATGTGTATCATGTCAGCAACGTGATGGCTGGTACAGGATTGATCCTGCACAAACCATCCCATGCGCACCTGGCCATGCTGCTGCAGCAAATCGACCATGGCGCCAGCCAGGCGTGCCATCTCACGCGTGAAAAAGCTGAATGCATGGCCGTCGGTGGCCAGCCGCCCCGTGCGCCCCACCCTGCACGTCACCAGGCATGCACTCAGACTTCTTTAGGGCATGTGCAGGGCAGCTCACGCAGCTCAGCAGCTTAATTGAGCAACCTGTGGATGTACTGCTCCATGTTGGTCGCCAGGTCCCAATTCACAACATGGGGTAGCCCGCGAATGTGGAGGCCGCGAGCTGCAACATCGGTGGCCACCATGATCTGCAAGATTCACAAGTGCAACCCGGGGAGGGTGGTCACCAGCACAACAACCAAGGGGTACACCTGGTGCCCGGACCACCTGCTGTCCACACCTGCGCCTTGCCGCTACGGAAGTCCAACATCGCGACCTCACGCTCCTCCTGTCCACGCTCGCCGTGCAGCAGGGTGGCGCGGTAGCCAGCCTCCTGGACCAGCCTGTGCACAAAGCGGCACGTCTTGATCCTGCATGAGGCACAGGTCAGCACCATGCCAAGGAGGGTTGGTTGGCAGAGAAGGGCCGGCGATGAAGGCAGCGGCAGCGGCACACGGCCACAAGCATCACATGTGCTGTGGGGAATGCAGTGCCACCGACCTGTTGGTGAAAATGAGTACCCGCGGCCTCACACGCGCTCCCTGTGCTGATGCTGTGATCTTTTCAAGATGCTTGATCAGTTTGTGAGACTGCACAGAGCACGCCGTGTCTTACGTCATGCAGAGCAGAGACCAGCTGATTCCAGCCCCATACATCCATGCACTTTCCCGTGCTCACCTTCTTGTGTTCGGCACACACTTGCACCACCTGGGTGATGCTGCTGCTGATGCAAGCTGCAGAGGTTGCCACGCGGATGACCTCCGGCTGCTGCAGCCAGGCCGCCGCAAGCTCCTGCAGGGACTCGGGCATGGTTGCCGTGAACAGGGCCACCTGCATGGGGAGAACAAGGTCGACAAAATGGAGCATAGCACGGTGTCTACACTGCCAGTTCATTGGCCCTTCAAATTGTGCCATTTGTGCCAGTCAGCGCGATCCCCTCCCTACCTGCACTCTGCGCATCTTCTTCTGCTTCTTAGCGATGCCCTCCTGCTCAGCTGGCGGCAGCAGGTGTTGCTTCAGCTGCTCAATCTGCGGCTGGAAGCCAAGCCCAAGCATCTTGTCCGCCTCGTCGAGCACCAGGTAGGAAACCTGGGCTGCAACACAAAATAGAACATTTTTGGCATGCAAACTATCTGGTGTCTTGCAATTGAGGCCTCGGTTTCGGGAAACAAGGATCACTGCGAGTAGTAACTGCACAGTACGTGCAGCACTGGTACGTTGCTCAGCTTGAACCGTAAAAGGTGTCGTCATTGGCCAGTGCATGATGATGCATAACAGCGCCGACCTAGTGCAGCAGCCACGCGCGTGCAAGCAACAGCATGAATGCAAGACAAGGAGACCTCAGAAAGAAAGTTGGAGACAGCATGGAGAGTGCTCAGAAACTGTGAAAGCAACAAAAATATGCTTCATCAATGGTCTCAACAGCATGCGACGTGCACGAGATGATGCAGGCAGAAATGGGCCCGGCTCAGCAAGCCGTGCGGCAGTTGAAGAGCGTACCTAGCTTGAGCGCGCCGTCTTGCACGTGGTCCAGCAGCCTGCCAGGGGTGGCCACCAGTAGGTGAGGCTGTTTGCTAAGCGCCTCCACTTGCTGCTGTTTGTCAATGCCTCCCGTGATGCAGCAGGTCCTGAGCCCACAGTACTTGCGCAAGTCACGACAGGCGCTGGCCACCTGCAACAGCAATCGCTAGGATGTGAGATCAAGCATGGAAAACTGGCATGCTCAAACAGCTAAAAGCAAGCAAACACAGCCAGCCACGTTGCATGCCAGAGTTCTGGACAACCTGCTGTGCCAACTCGCGGGTCGGCAGCAAGATGAGGGCCAGCGGGCCGTCTGGAAGTGTGCTGCCGCCATGCCCCTTGGTGGCCAGCAGCTGCAAGCAGGAATGATCCTGTGGAAAGCCCCTTTTCGAGGATGTGGAGTCCCCCAGTACCACCTATGGGTCACGCTCCGAGTCGGCCAGGCAAAAGCTGCTTGCATGAGAGGGAGGACATACGTACCACGGCGGCAGGTAGCATGTAGGCCAGGGTTTTCCCGCTGCCTGGCTCCGAGATGGCCTCCACATCGCGCCCTGCCAACAGCACCGGCCAGCACCTGGGGGTGCACACAGCGCACAGAGCGAGGCTGGGAACGCCACAATACCACGGCATGGGTGCTGCCAGTCATGCCATTCCCACCCACCTGGTCTGTATCGGCATGGGGTCGCTGAAGCCCTCGCCTGCCATGTAGCGCTGCACCAGCTCCGGGAACTGCTTGAGCTCGTCGCTGATGGCCGCCAGCGGCAGCCGCTTCTGGCGCGGCGCCTCGGTCTTGGCGGTTTTGACGTCCAGCAGGTTGACTGCAGTGGACAGCTTGCGCCTCTTGGCTACTGCCACATCCTTAGTGTCTTCTGCATCGTGCGCCGCTGTGCTGCTGCCGTGTGCATGCTTACGCTTGGCGCTCACACCCGCCACCGCTGCCGCTGCTGCTGCCACGCTGTTGACGGCCCCCGACGGCACGCCAAAGGTGAGATGGGCATATCGAGACAGCTCTCCACTGCGGGCCTGCAGCTGCGGCTCCTCCCGGTCATCGGCCAGGTCCTGTGCGGTTAGGCTGGGGTCTTTGTAGCACACGCCTCGGCACAGCCGCCTGGCCTGCTTCTTCTTGCGCTCCCTGCGAGGCTTGACCGCCTCAGCCTCCCCCCGCCGCTTCTTTTTGGCCGCCTTGCGAGCCAAGTAGTCGACGCCCATGTCCGCCGCCGCTGCCCACCACCGTCGCCTGTGGGTGTGCGTATGCGGGCCGGTGCAGCGCGCTCCCGTTGCTTCCGTTGCAATACGGCTCACTGTCGGCTCACTTCCGGCGCTGCGGGCTGCTCTGGAAGTGTCTGCATGCAACTTGCGCCTACATGCATGACCCCAACGCAGGCCTGTCCACCGTTTGTGCTGAAGTGCGCAATCTAGCAGCGTTTATTCCCTGGCTGGCCTCTTTCCAGCATGGCTGAGGTGGCGCAGCTCAGCTCAGCACGGCGCTGACAGCGCCTACATTCTAAATGCACATTAGGCCCCCAGGGGAAGCCCATATCAGCTGGGGCTGTATTTCTTTTGCAAATTGCATTGTGGCTCTCAAAATTTGAGTCAAATCATGTTGCCGTCGCCGCCCACTGGGTGGCAGCAGGAGGCGGGCAGAAGGGGCATCCAGGGCCCATCCATGCATGAGCAGTGGAGGCCGAGGCAATGCCGCAGTTCAAGCAGATCGCCAGGGAAGATGCTGGACAACGCAGTTCCACTGGGAACGGAGGCAGGCCTTCATCCAGCTCGGAACGGCACTTGGCCATCCCCCGGTCGACTGCCAGCCCTGGTCGGTGTGTTCGCATGTGCTAATTTAATGAGGAAATCGCAGGCGCAAAGCCGCATGTGATGCAAAGTCGTGCCGTCCGCTCATGCGGCTGCAGCAGACCGGAGCCGTTTTTGTCTTTGTAAATCCTTGCCTCCTTTGCTGCGACCGTGCGGTCGCCAATCATGGCGGCCTGGCTTGGGGTGGTGCTGCTGTTGCTTGTGTGGGCCGCCGATGGGCAAGTGAACTCCTGCAAGAGCACATTTTTCGTGTTCCCAACGGCCAGGTGCGTGGATGTGCCCAGATTGGGACGCGGGGGTGCCGCGGGCAGCGTGCGCTTCGGGGGCACTCACGACGGCAAAGGCGCCTTGCAGCTGTCGGGCGCAATGCAAGAAAGCCCGAACAAGCCTCCCCTGAAGACGCTGCAGCCCTGGCGGGTTCCGCCAGCCAGCCGGCCCTGCCGCCGTCCCGCCCCGCCTGGCCGCTGCCACCAGCTGTGCCGCCGTGCCTCAATGCAGAGTGAATTCTGCTGCTGGCCCGGTTAGCTACTTCATCTACCGGGACCCCCGAGGGGCAAGCGGCCAGGCATACTGCAGGTGTGGTGCCTGCCCACGCTCCTACGCCTCTTGGGCGCCCCCCGCGGTGCTGTGCAACAGCGCCCTGGATCTCAAGAATCGCCCCGTTGCCGCCGCCCTCCCCAAACCGCAGGCAAAAAGGGTTTGCCTCGCTGGGCGGCGTGCGCTCCTCGCCGCTGTCCAGCCTGGGCACCGGGTCTGCCGTCAACCTGGCCACCGAGGAGCAGTGCAGCCAGCCGGCATGCCATGTGCGTGGCAGCGCTGGGGCTGCTGCCAGGGCTGCTGCCAGGGGTGCTGCACGCCGCCTCTGCACCCACTGCGGCGGCTGCCGCTGTCCGCTGCCGCCCACCACCCCACCCGTTTGACAAGCCACCCATGAGCGTCTGTTGCCTGCCCCGCCTGCAGGCCTACATCGCGGTTGAGTGCGTGCCCAACGGCGCCTTGGCCTGCAGGCCTGATGCAATGGGCAATGTGGGGTTGGGCAACGTGGGTGCCGACAACTTTGGGCGCGGCTGTGTGGGGAACAACAACATAGGTGCGGCGAGCGCACAGGAGTGCGGCGGGCCGCACTCCTTGGCGGCTGGGGTGGGATTGGCTGCCAAGGGGCGCGCGCTGCTGTGCACAAATGGCGCAACTGGGTGCCAGTGTGGGGACCCTGCTTGGCTGCTGGGCGTGGTTTATCAGCGCCAGCCCAGAGGCGGCACTGTGCCGCACTGGTGTTCCTATTCCCATACTGTTATTGTTGTCTGATGGGAAGCAACACTGCTGGCAGCGGGGGCGGACCGCTGCCAGTTTTGGGTTGGGCTGCACTGCGCTGCCTCACCTCCCTCTTGCCCCCGGACCCTGCCGTGTGACCTGACCACGACGGCATCTCCTCGCCACTCCCCCTCCACCCTGCCGTGCTTCTCGCCCTTGCCGCTTCGTGTTTCCCTCTGCTGCAGGCGTCAACAACTACGGCAATGACAACGTGGGCGTGGGCAACATGGGCAGCCGTAACGTGGGCTTCTCCCTGGTGGGTGTAAACCCGGCTGCCGAGGACCTTGCAAGCTTTGGACATGGGGAATTGGGAGAGAGTATGAGTCTTGGTTGCATGCAGGTGGGCGACGACCTGCACTCCATGACGCTCAGAACCACCAACGGCACGCTACTGCTGGGCGGCGACAGCGGCGTGGGACCCTTCCCGACCATCCCGCCGCAGCCGCCCTGCGACGTCACCAGCCCGCCGCCGCCGCCGCCCAAGGAGTGCCCCGTGTGCCCGCCGCCCAGTCCGCAGCCGCCCCGCCCGCCGTCGCCACCTGCATGCCCGGCGCCAGTGCCGTGCCCACCGCCAAAGGCGAGTCGTGCGAAGGTGTCCATCTGACCCTGCTTGCGAGGAGCTTGGGAGTGCCACATGGCAGGGGCGCAATATGCGGGTAGCATGCTGCAGTCATGTGATACTACACCATTCCCGCGCACTGCCTGCAGTGTCCAAGCAGCCCACCGCCTCGTCCAAAGCCGCCGCCCCGCCCCAAGCCCCCGCCCCCTTCTCCTCGGCCGTCGAACCCTTCGCCGCCGCCCTCCCCGTACCCC